CCATAACTCTCGCAAAGTTCGCACAACATGTCGGCCGCTGTGTTAGTAAATTTTTGCAGGCAAGTATAGACCTCTGACCTCGCTAAAGTTATATCATATTGACTTTATTAGGGCTGCGAGGTGGATCATCCCAAGCAAAATCCCAAGTGGAAAATCGGTGGAAAAGACGGGATACTTCCTGGTGAAGTCCTTCTTTTGGGGGCAGTACACGTTTCCAGTGGGACTTGGCAACCAATATTGGCACTCACCAGGGTCATATTATAGTGTGGGCGACATATGCCTATCTCTTTTCGCTGCGCCGACATTAAATGATATGTAGTGACAAGGTTGCACATCCATGAGGTGACTCAAAAGTACGATATGGCGGCAGGACCCGAGAGGAGGAGAGGGGGACTGTTGGGTAAGGCCACTAACAGTGCGTGGCCAAGGAATGCACAATTAAAGCGGATGAGGTCTGCGCTACGTACACAGGTTCTGGGCAGGTCTAACATGTAGACAAATACGAGTGAGATATTACCCCTACGTCAATAATCCAGATTTTCAAGCAGGTCAGCCTCTCCAATATCGGGTTGAGATGAACGGCATAGGCGTGACGAGAGCCGGACGGGCCTTCTTACGCACTTCAACCGCGACGGTGGTTCCCTTTTTGTGGAAACCGGACTTGATATAACCCATTGCAATGTTTTTGCCCACCGTCGGAGCGAGCGGAATGCCTGACGTGACAACACCTTACATCTCGGGTCACCGTCGTGAACAATCACCCATAATGACAACACACACCTATTTCGTCTGACGTTTCAGGTGCGAGAATCTTTGCACCCTCTAACAGGATTAGTTAATCAGACATTAATAAGATTGGCAAGGATGACAAAGAATCACGCACGACGCGCTGGGGCTTCTTCAACAATTAATCCAACGCGCCGCCTTGACGGCCCATTCTTCAGCTGTTGTAGAACCTCCTCCGAGCCTATGAACCCTCCCGAAACACGGCGATCTTTTCCGATAACCCAGGAAAGGCCAGCCTCGACGGGTGTAGTGCCCTCATCCAGGTCGTTGCCATACAGACACATTCCCGCCTCCAACCGCAGTGAATCGCGTGCGCCAAGACCGGCGAGTTGGACGGGCGGGCGGAGGAGTGCTGACGCGAGGAAAGCAGCTTGTGCAGGGGGAACGGAAATCTAGTGGAGTTGCCAAGGAAGAAGTTGAAAGGCGCCAGGGCCAAGGGTAAATAGTTTGGAAGACTGACCTCGAAGCCGTCCTCACCGGTATACCCACCACGTGCAACGTGCACGTTAATTCCTTCGAGTGGAACGAATGCGCTTCTCCCGAAAGTCAGAGCGCGTAAATCGTACGACGTCAAGGCCTGCAAGAGGTCTGCAGAAGCAGGGCCTTTTTTTGTTTGTTTATTTTTTTGATGTCATCAGGCTAACTGCTGGAACCGGCGCGTATATGACACGACATACCCTGCAGTGCGAGCAGTCCCCATCCATCCAATACTTCGTGCTCTACAGGACCGTCTTTTGCGCGTTCGCTGGCGTTCCACTCGGCCAGTCTTGCTGAGAGCCAAGCCAAGTCCTCCAGACGCCGACCCGCGTTCGTGACTACGTAAAAGGCGTCTGGCGCGTGCTTCGTGATCACGGTGTCGTCAATGATTCCGCCGCGTTCATTGAGAAACACAGACAAGGTGGATGTATACGGTGCTAGAGTTGAAAGTGACGATGGAGTCAACCATTCCAGGAATTGCGTCGTTGTGGCTCCACGGAAGCTAGATGGCGGTGGTGTTTTTACTATTTTACAAGGGGACAAGAACAATTGCGATCGCCTACTTGGATTGTACCATGTGTCCGACGTCAAAAAGTCCCGCACTTTGTCGCACATGCTGATGGCTGGCAACTGCAGATAATGTCAGAGAACTAAATTCGGATAGTCGTTGAAAGGGACGTAACGCTGGCCGACGTCGCCATACACTAAGGGCATATGATAGCCTGCAAAAGGGACCAGTTTTGCGCCATGTTTAATGTGAAAGTCATAAAGCGGAGTTTGTCGCAGAGACTGCTTTAGTAGGCATGTCAGAAAGTCGGCATGAAAAGTGAGGTGGCAAATAGTACGGCGTCTGGATCCGACTTGGTTGCTATTCCGCGAGAAGCCGCAAATGCACATGAATGAGACAAAGCATGACGAATATGTGCGCTAGTCTTGACGACGGGAAGGATGCAGCGATGGAAAATCATTAGTACCGACCGCGATGACGGTGAAGTTGAACAGTTGCAGATAAGATAAGATGCAATCTTAAACTCTAGCCTGTATCCACGTGACGCGTACTTTCGATCTCTGGCCACCTTGCTGGCCACTTGCGTTTTGTTTTGAAACCTGACAACAGTGAACCGAACCGTGCGGCAAATACACAAATACAGAGCCATCCTACAATCGAGATAGGCATCGTATCGACATGACAATGAATTTCAGGGATGATGACAAAAGTAATGCGCTTAATACTCTCCCTCCTCTTCCACATCAGCCGAGTCAACCCCCACTTCTTCGTAGTCTTTTTCAAGCGCTGCGAGATCCTCCCGTGCCTCCGAGAACTCACCCTCTTCCATGCCCTCACCAACATACCAATGCACGAAAGCCCGCTTAGAGTAAAGCAGGTCAAATTTACGATCCAGCCGGGTCCACGCGTCAGAGATGGCAGTTGTATTGGATAACACACAGACGCTTCTAACCACTCGGGCCAGATCACCATCCGGGATGTGTGCTGGTGGCTCGTTGGAGATGCCGATCTTGAAACCTGTCGGACACCAATCAACGAATCTGATCGTGCGGCGGGTCTTCACCTGGGCAACGGCAGCGTTGACGTCCTTGGAGACGACGTCACCCCGGTAGAGCAACGCACAGGCCACTGTGATCAATTGTTAAGGTTGGTGTAGTTCAAGACGAAACGACGCACTGTATTTTCCCTCCATCGGGTCGCAATTGATCATCTGGTTTCCCCGCTGGAAACAGGCGGCAGTGATAGTAGCGACATCGTTCATCTCGTGTTGAACTCGGTCGACGGGTACGATAGGCGAGAGCGTGGCAAGAGGAAAATGAATGCGCGGAAAGCTACGAGTCAACGGCCTGGTTAAGGAACGGCCAAGAGGATATATGACCGGAAAAGACTAACGGAACCAGATTTGTTTGGAATTCATTCAGATCGACGTTCAAGGAACCAGTAAAGCGAAGAGAAACCGTTATCGAAGAGACAACCTGGGCGATCAGTCGATTCAAATTGTTGAAGCTCGGCTGGGAAATCCCAAGGTGTTTTTTGCAAATCCCGAATATCGCCTCGTTGTCAACCTGAAACGAAAGGCTCACCATAGAGGACTCACAGAACAACAATCGTCTTACCATGAAGGAGCAGTCGGCATGCTCTAACGTCGTGTGGGTCGTCAACACAGAGTTGTACGGCTCGACGACAGAGTTAGCGAGTTGAGGTGCCGGATACACACAGAACTCCAGTTTCGACTTCTTCCCGTAGTCAGTTGAGAGATGTTCCAGTAAGAGGGCTCCTAGTCCCGAGCCAGTCCCTCCACCAAAGGAATGGAAAACAAAGAATCCCTGGAGGCCAGTACAGTTATCCGCAAGGCGCCGAACTTTATCAAGAATGACGTCAATCTTCTCTTTGCCAACGGTGTAATGACCCCGCGCATCTATCAAACCCTGTTAACAACATGCCATTTTAAGATCAGAGTTAATGTATGCTCACAGTTGCTCGCAGCGTCCTCCTTCCCAGTGATCATCGTCTCTGGGTGGAAGAGTTCACGGTACTTGCCTGTTCGGACTTCGTCTATGACATTTGGTTCGAGGTCGATGTAAAGAGAACGCGGAACGTATTTCCCGGACGAGGTTTCCGAAAAAAAGGTGCTGAAGCCATCAGCACCATTTCCTCGCACATTGTCGCCACCCTGAAGACGGCCATCCGGCTAAGGACGGCGAAGGGCACTTTAGACTCGTAGCGCAAAGGGTGCTTAAATTATCACTCACGCCCAATCCATGCTCAGCAGTGTATAGCTCCCCTGTGGCATACATTCAATCGATTGAGTCGATGTGGAACATCAACGAGTGGCTTACAGCAGGCGTTCCCGATTTGCACCCCAGCCTGACCGACGTGTATGGAGATGACTTCGCGCATCGACCCCTACGAGAGAATCAATCAGCTGACTCGGCCGCTGCACGTTTTCCTTCGGATGGCGGGCACTCACGATGAAAAAAGAGAAGTGGGTGGTGGGGAAGGAGGACAAGAGGCGAAAGAGACTCCATACCGTGACTTTCTGAAGGGACATTTTCTTCACGCGACTTCGCTTCTCGATCCTCTCACGGTCATGACAGCATGAATGGATGAGCGCCGACTTGGGTAGCACGTTAGCCAAACAGAGCAAAGGGTGCCACCAGAGACAGTCTTGTTCGTCCCTTTGCGATGGCCATCTGTGTGAGGGCCTGACGCATATGTCATTCAGCCTCAGCACTCAGCACGACGTGGAAAAGCAAAGCAAGTTTGTTGCGATTGGAATGAGCAGTCATCTCGGCATCGGATACGAGAACCGGTGATGATGCGGGCAGCCCGAACCATCGTGTCTCAATACGTTAAAACTGGTTTAAGCCAAATAAGGCTTTAGCGCAGCTCTCTCGTTTCTCAATCAACAGCAGACACCAGCAGGTTGAGTGGAGGCGTGGAGGTTTCAGTAAAGAAGTCGGACGGCGCCCAAGACGGCTCCTACTGCAAGCTGCAAGCCCTACAGCGAGTGAGCAAAAAACTTCCAAAAAGTCACGGCCTGCGAAGGCAGGACGTTAGATTGCCTAACGCGGTCATTAATCGGCGTGAAGGGACAGCATCTCATCATGTTTTAGGAAGGCGGGAGCCACAGGGAAACGTCGTGTAGACAAAGTGTAGATTGCACAGTATGCCCGCGTCGCCGGGTTCCTCTTTGCATGAATATATCTAAATGACATGCCAATGCTAAGTCCCTGTCGATTAGTGGTTAAATCATCACGTTGTGGCTTACCTCAGCGCAATCCGTGAAGCCAGCGGCTCGAATCCGCTCAGGGACATAATTTTTTTCACCTCGCGATGTGCGTTAATGCAAACTACATCGTACTTTAAACAACACACGATAAATAGTTCAGGCCGAGTACTGGGTATCAACGTAATCATTATTGATTATCCAGGAAAGTAGGTAAATCACGTTCTTCCAAGTCAACGTGTGGAGAAGATATATACTCGGTGATGGGAATATTATTATAAATAGATGGTACTCAGTCAATGAGGATCATTAAAAAAGAAGGCAATGACAGGCGAATAGCATCTGGTTCAGAATGGGACAGTACAATGCAAGTGAGTATTAATGGAAAACAACAGTAGCTTAAACGGGCAAGATGAGGAACCTGAGCAAAGATAGACTGGGCTGTGTATCCAGAAAACATGTCATAAACGTGAGAGCCATTCTTCAAGCGCTTCTAAGACAATTTGCTCAGAAAGCAAATCATCAATTTTCATTCATCCGCGCACCAGGGCCCCAAAAGACAGACAGCTCTCCCAGCAGACTGGAGGACGGGGGCTGTTGGTCCTGGAGGCCATGACCTTCAAGTTGTTCGTAAAATCGAGACCAGGTGCGAGAAATGCGGATGAGGTCGGATCAAGTGTTAGAGTAGTAGCATTGAGCGGAGGAAAGTTCTCCGAGGTATGCGCGCGATGCAAAAGCGGGCGGCGGTGTACCTCTGTCACAGCCACCGAGGTTGGGAGTGGCGGCAGGGGGACATTTGGTGGAGGAACGGGAGGTGGCTTGCGGAGTGCACGACGTGGTCTGAAGTGTGGAGTCAGCGGACTCAGCGCCAAGAAGTGATAGAAGACAAGGGCACTCTTGCTTACCGCATTGCACCACCCATGCTCCCACTTCGAGAACGTCCACCGCCTACTCTGCTCGGAACCACTCCGTGTCCTTCCCTATCGATGCATGGCAGGTCAACCGGGCGGATGTCTGTACTGCCACTGCGCGCACGGCCACCGGGGCTCATGAGCGCAGTCCGTTGCAAGGCGATGCCTGCGTTCCGCTGCGGACTCTTGACGGCACCCATACCATTATTTGCGATGCTCAGACTACTCCGCCGCCGCCGCAAACGGGGGGCGACAACACAACCAACTACAGGGGACGTCGCGCTTGCATTGCTCGACGCACGGCTACGTGGCAAAAAGTAGTTCACCACATCTTCGGAAGAAGGGGATGGCACAGCGTTCGATTTCGTGGGCGTCGTGTCCGAGTCGCTATCCATGTTTGTGGAACCATCGTGACGAGAAGGGGTGGAATAATCCCCATAGGTGGTATGGCCTTCTGGCCTTGGAGTAGCAAGAAGACCAGCGGAGAATATGGAGGAATAACCAGACATGGTGTCGTAGCTAAGGGAGGAAGGGAAGTGGGTTGGTAGAAGGGGGAAAGAGGGATAAGGATGACCCTCTGGTGAGCTCACCGCTTCACATTTATTGGGTCTGAATTTGGGCCTGCCCTGGAGCGCTAACTCGGACGGGGTCCACAGATCCAACTTGATTACGTACTGACGATCATGCATTGCTACTGTCGGCCTGACAACCCTCTCAGCACGGCCTCTCGTGTCGTTGATAAGTTTCACCGTGTTCGATTGCAAAAAGAGACATCCTGTGGTGATTTTCTGTTCATTCCAGCTCCGGCTTCTTACACAGTGCTGCACAGTATGTGACCTTGGAATGCCGGTATAATGATGGTCACGGCAGCATCTACTAGCTAGCTTCCCACACTATATAACAACCTCGGCGTCCCGAACTCGGCCAAAATCCGGAACTTGCACGGTGTTCCCTCCTCGGGCGCCAACGTCAATCACATTCGTGATCAGTCCGGTCTTTCCTCGATCCCCATCCGAGTTCCCGTGAGTCATAGGTCCAACTAACAAATGTTCCGGTCCGACTCTGTACGCGCAGCTGTACGGGCCGCAGACACAGCAAGCACTGGTCTTACTTGTAGCAGCATCCACATTGTGAGTATTTTTCTTTCTATTGCAGTGAAAATGGTGAAATTGCTCTTCAAGTACTGTATGTCTTGTCTTCACGCGGATCACACCCAGCATCAATTCTGCCGTAACAGTGGCAGTATTCCGGGTTAGTGACCTCAACGGGTCAAACCCGAAACTGAGTCGTCCGTCTACTGTCAGGTACAGTACATACATGACTCTCAACGGTGACAGTCGGCTGGTCCACGATACCGCAGATCAAAGGCCTAAACTGTAAGTCGCACCCTTGCCCCAGGTTTTAAGAAGTCGAGAATGCCCCCAAAGGTGTTCAAGACAAGCACGAACCACGATTGTCTGGTTTTGGTCTAGTGAAATGCTCAGTTCTGTGTCTGGTCAAGAGAACGTATGTGATGCGATCGTGATTCACATTTGCGTCTTGTGGCCCCAAACCTGCGCACCCGCTCCTACGTTGCTCAATCTGGCCATGACCTTTTCCCCTGTAGATGCCATCAAATAAAATTCATGTGGGTAATACAGTACAAGTACACAAAATCACATCCGCTTGATCTCATCAAACAATACACTGCCTCTGCTCCGTTCGTCTTACCTCCCCGCAATGCGGATGCGCTCGCCCCTCTCCTCTCGGGGTCTAAAGCTCCAGATCTCCACCGTCGTCTTTCCCGCACGGCGACACATGATTGCGCACACCTCGCGTCTAAACACGACTTTCCACACAGTATCGCTTGGCGCCGTGATATCGCGGACGTACGCGCCCGAGCCGACGTCGAATAGGCGCACGCGACCATCGTTCCCGCCCGTGACGAGGAACTGTTCGTCAAATTGCAATGACGTGACTGATGAATCGTGTGCTGCGATCCGCGTGTGTACTCGTAAGTCTGGCAACGCGAACGCGAGCACCCGCCCGTCTGCCCCGCCTGTCACAAGGGTGTGCGGCGTCAACTGAAGGGAGCACACCAATGCGGTATGTCCCTGCAGCATCGCTGTGCAGTGTCTGTGGAGAGAGGCCTTAGACTGGAGGCAAATAAGAAAGGCTTTCTGTTGGCGTACCCAGTAAGTGCGTCCCACACGCGCACCGTGGTGTCCAAGCCACCAGAAGCAATGATCTTGCCGTCAAATGCAACTGCATATATCTGGTTGAAATGTCCACGAAAGATCTGCAGACATTCGCCCGTATCCACGTCCCAGAGCTGTCCGTTAATCAGCGCCACCGCACCCGATGGTAGGAAGGGAGGTAGTGCGACATAACTTACTCGGCAAGTACAATCATAGCTTCCGCTGACGACTTTATTCCCGCAAACGTCAAGCGAACGCACGCTTCCCGCGTGCCCTGAAAGGACGCGTAACATCCGCCCGCGCTGCACATCCCACACGCGCAAAGTGCCATCGCGCGAACCGCTTATCGCAACGGGACGATTGTGTATCACCTTAAGACAGCGCACAGTTGAGGTGTGTCCACGGAGGACGTAAAGCGTGAGACTATCCACCCGTACCCGCTCGCAGATCAAAACAACATCACAAGAACAGGTAACGGAAAGAAAGACGCACCCAGTCCGCACATCCCACACACGCACGTCTTTGTCGCATCCGCCGCTAACCACTAGCGCCCCAGGCTGACCCCATCCGCGCGTCGCACCGGCGACATCACTGCGGGCGCTCTCCGACCGATTAATTTCGTCGTCCTGTTTATAGGCATGCGCGATTGGGGGATACTGTGCGTCAAGAGCCAGTGCAGCGCGCATAGATGGCGACAAGATATGGTCAAGCCCTTGTGGGTCGAGGACCTGCGCGCCAGGCGGCGCTCGGTTGTGTTGAAGTAGGGCGGGACCATCTACCACCTCTAGGACCCCGCCCCCACTCACTGGTGTACCACTCGAGTTGTGTCGGGGATGAGACGGATCGAGTGCGCCGCCGCGCGAGACGAGGTCGACGGCCCATACACCGAGCTCATGGCCAACGAGGGTGCGTACGAGCGAGCCCGTGTGAGTCGAAAATATGTGAATTCGATGATTCGCGAGCCCTGCGACGAGCCAGTCTGCATCGAGTGCGACTGAGGTGACCACCCCGCTGTTGGGGTCGAGCACAGGAATGCGGTGTGCGCGTAGACATCGGCCGCCGCGCTTCCAGTTGACCACTGTCGGGCGAGGGTGGCATTAGAATGAACTGATGCTCAGGGAGGAGAACCACGGAAAGACGGGAAACACACAGGTTAACCACGCGTATTTGAAGAGAGCTTGCGAGCTCTGCGCCGGTTGGAGAGAGCGTGGTGGGCGAGGCAGACGGGGGAGCGTCGGCACACCGGGGATGTGCGGAAGCGTAACACCTATTGTATCCCCTTCATCCGTATCTGGCTCGCATGGGCCATGCAAGGCGGGATCAAAATGGTATGCGCTCGCCAGCCCACGCCAAGTCTGCTCATCTTGCACAAGGGCGTGCCATTTCCGTGAGACGCAGGCGATGCGCGCAAGTGTACGTGGATGATCGACAAAGCTGAGAACGTGGAGAGAAAGCTCTATGGGTAAGTCTGCAAGAAAGTCGCGCTTAAGGAGAGGTGCGATACGGGTAGATATAAAAAAGAGCTCGCGAGAAGAACAGTGGGACAGGAGGGTGGCTAAATATTCTTGCCGGGAGATAGATCCCAGAGACAGAAATTCATCGAGAAGGGCTTGGAAAGGAGGCAGCTGGACCTGTGGTGCAAGTGAGGAAGCGAAAGATATGACGCTTGGTGCCGGGGAGATGGGACGTGGAGATGGAGCCGGGGTAGGCGGACGCATGACGGGCATGAAAACGGTTGGAGATTCAGTCTGGGAAGAGAAGTCGGGTGGTGTGTCTGACTTATACGGGGGGAGATCCCCGAGACCGATGAGTTCGAATGAGGAGGACATTGTGTTGCACTAATTCGAGTTATATCTTCATATCGAAAATGTAGGACGAGACAGCGAACACGCACGATATGGGCAATTCCCTATAAATGGTGGACGGCAGAGGCTCACCAGGGTGAGCCCTGGGAGGGGGGAAGGGAGGGTACGCAGATCTGAGGAGGCCCCAAAATAAGA